GTTTCTGAGCCAACATTTTGGTTGCTAAGCAAGAGTGTTGTTAAGTGAGTTTCGCCACATTTTACAAGTTGGCCACACCCACCCAGTCACATGTCAGGCAAGCCACTCCCACAGGGTCACATGGCTGGCAAGCCACTCCCAGTCACATGGCCGGCAAGCCACTCCCACAAAGCAGGCCACATCTACAGAAGAGGTTCTAAAAAATTTTGAAACCCACCACTGCAGTGAAAATATAAGTCCTAAAGCATGAGGTCTAGTAGGGCATCAGGCAACAAAACTGCTCCAAATCACTAAGCAATTCCAAGGCTCTTTGAAAATGTATCTTTAATTCAGTCAATATCCTGCTTACTGCAAATGACTTTGCAAGCCAAGGGACAACCATCCTTGAAATACAAAGGTGCTTTATGACCCAATTTCTACTGTTTTTGTTGTAGAGGTTATACAAAGGTTATGTACAACATGCGCAGCAAACTCCCATATCTTAGTAACCGATTATCTCAACTGTTTATGAGCTCACCTAATTAGCAGAACCAGGCAGTACCATGGAGTTATGTGAAATTCAACCCTGGCTGGGATGGTCTTAGAGATTGACAAGGAGAATGTACCAATAAGATGCTGTTGCTACCTATGCTCTCGCTTTGCTTGTTGAAACTGTATAAAAGCCAAATAAACTCTGCGTAAGGCAGACAGACATTTTGGACACCTGCTGTGTTGGATTTCTGAGATCAACATTTTGTATATTAAATATATATTTCTGTATATTACGATTCCTTTAATGACAGCTTTGGCTACCTTTTTTCCCCTCTGGTAACCTATAACACATTACTGCCGGAAAATGCAAACTCACAGAATGGATGGAATGGAAAAGGTCGTGATCATCACCTAGTCTAAAGAAACTACCATCCCTGATAGTGTTCTATAGTTAGTCCTCGACCTACGAGCACAATTGAGCCCAAAATTTCTACTGTTCAGTGAGACATTTGTTAAGTGAGTTTTGCCTCATTTTACAACCTTTCTTGCCACAATTGTTAATTGAATCAATGCAGCTGTTAAGTTAGTAAAACGGTTATTAAGCAAATCTGGCTTCCCCATTGACTTTGCTTGTCTGAAGGTTTCAAAAGGGGATCACGTGACCCCAGGACACTGCAACCGTCATAAGAGTCAGTTGCCAAGTTATGAATTTTGATCGCGTGACCATGGGAATGCTGCAATGGCCATCAGTGTGAAAAATGGTCATAAGCCACATTTTTCAGTGCCCTTGTAACTTCGAAAGATCACTAAGTGAATTGATGTAAGTTGAGGACTATAAATAGAATAGAATAACAGAGTTGGAAGGGACCTTGGAGGTCTTCTAGTACAACCCCCTGCCTAGGCCACTACACCACTTCAGACAAATGGTTATCCAACATCATCTTAAAAACTTCCAGTGTTGGAGCATTCACAACTTCTGGATGCAAGTTGTCCACTGATTGCCATATTTTTCAGAGTATAAGACGCACTAAGGTTTTGAAGAGACAATTTTTTTTTTAAAAGTAGGTAGGTAGATAGAGGGATAGAGAGGGAGAGAAAGAGAGAGAAATACAGTAGGTAGGTAGGGAGAGAGTGAGAGCAGTTAAGTAGGTAGGTAGATAAAAGGATAGAAATAAATAGAGAAAAAAACAGTAGGTAGGTAGGAAGCGAAAGTGTAAGTAGGTAGAGGGATAGAGAGAAATACAATAGATAGGGAGAGAGAGAGAGTGAGAGTGAGAGAGAGAATAGATAGATAGGTAGATAGAGGGATAGAGAAAGAGTAGGTAGGTAGGTAAGTAGAGGGAGAGAGAGATGGAGAGAGATTTGCACTCTGCAAATCTCCCCAAAACGGTCCATTTTTCACAAAAACGGGCCCGTTTTTGTTTTGTTTTTTTAAAAAGGCATGAATAGCCTTGGGTGGCTTGCAGAGTGCTCCTGGGGGGGGGGGGCATAAAAAGCGAGCAAAAAATGGCCCTGTTTTTGGTAAAAACAAATTGCATGCATAGCCTTATGGAGGCTTATAGAGTGCTGCCGGGGGCTGGGGAGCAAAAAACGGGACGTTTTTTGCTCATTTCTGCCCTCCCCAGCCCCCAGCAGCTCTCTGAAAGCCTCCTTAAGGATATGCACGACCATTTTGGTGAAGGGACGGGGCTTCTGGAGGCGAAAAATGCTGTATTCAGTGTATGCACCCAGATTTCCAGCCTCTTTTTTGAGGAAAAATAGTGTGTCTTATATTCTGAAAAATATGGTAATTGCTCTAACTGTCAGGAAATTTCTCCATAGTTCTAGGTTGCTTCTCTCCTTGATCAGTTTCCACCCATTGCTTCTTGTTCTGCCCTCAGGTGCCTTGGAGAATAGCTTGACTCCCTCTTCTTTGTGGCAACCCCTGAGATATCGGAACTCTGCTATCATGTCTCCCCTAGTCCTTCTTTTCATTAAACTAGACAAACCCAGTTCCTGCAACCGTTCTTCATATGTTTTAGCCTCCAGTCTCCTAATCATCTTTGTTGCTCTTCTCTGCAAACTTCCTTAGAGTCTCCACGTATTTTTTACATCGTGGTGACCAAAACTGAATGCAGTATTCCAAGTGTGGCCTTACCAAGGCATTATAAAGTGACATTAACACTTCGCGTGATCTTGATTCTACCTTTAGTTGTTCTTTTCATAACACACTCAATATGTCAGATCTTCTTAAACTCAAGGGTAGGCACAGGGATATCCTGTTCAGAAATTATTCATCAAGAGAGGTATGTTTTTAATTAAACAGGTTGCGGAGCCTGTTAACTCATCAGCCCATCCCGGCATTCTTAGCATTTTACCTGTTTTCCCATTCTGCCTTTGTCTTCTGTTTTGACATCAGTGGATTCATTAAAAATCCGAAGGCACTCTTCCATTGGGTCAGACTCAAAGTCCAAATCATTCTCTAGGTGAGAATAATCAACCTCATCATCATCAGAGGAGGAGGAGGAGGAGGAGGAGGAAGCAGGAGGAGCCTGGCATAACTTACGTTTCTTAACATTTGCCCTCCCATTGTCGTAGGGCAAAGAGAAGCCAGCATCCTCTCTGACTGAGTCCAAACTCACATCAGGGAACCGAAGAAGAGGCTGGCCCACCAGCTCCTCCTCTCCACTCTCATCCCCAAAGAGATCAACGTGGCTCAGGGACCGCTGTTTAATCTTGCGTTTGGCCTCCGAATTCTCCTTGGCCTGGGAGTTGGTCAAGGTTTCCTTGGACCTTTTCAAGGCTGGTTGCTTGTCTTTTCTCTTATTCTGTTCAGTTCCACTAGGGATTTGGGGCTTCCTTTTCAACTCTACAGGCTGGAACTTGCTCTCTTTCCTACTAGTCCCTGATTTTTCAGTAGCAGCAGCTTTGCCAACATCTTTGTTCTTGCCAGAGTTCTCTTCCTTAATTCCAGGTGTGATCCCAGATTTGGGCTTATGGAGCTTCAGTGCCTGCCTATCAACGTGGGACTTGCTTGGTTTCTCCTTACTCCTTTCCCCATTTTTGTGCTGTGCCTTCACACCCGTCTTCTCCTTGTCTCCTATTTTAACTTGATTTTTCTTCGCCTGCTTACCCTTGTGGTCATCCTCCTTTTTCTTTTTCAACTTATCCTTTGAGGCCACTTTGTTCTTTTCCTTGGCTTTCGCATCTCGGTTAGAAGGCGCTTTGACCAACTTGGCATTTTTCTCCACTAAATCTTTGACAGCGTTTCCCTGCGGGCTCTCAATGTCCCCCATGTCATACTGCACAGCAGTCTCTTTCATTTGCCGGGAACTGGTATCTATTGGTGGGGCTCCCTTTTCTTTGGCTGTGCCCAATTTGCTTTCTGAGCCTCCTTTAGATTTAAGGGGGATGGCAGAAGCTTCACGGCATTCATCCTCCGAGTCAGAGAACCGGGCAATGGGCTCATCATTGCTAGTTTCGTCACAATATTTCTTGAATGAAGGAGAATATGCGTCCTCACAATCAACTTCCCTCTTCCGCTTGGTCCCCTTCTGTTCTTTAGCTTTGCTCATCAGCCTGGCAGAATAATTTGAAAGAGGATCATATTCTAAATCTGTTGAAGGCTTGGAGTTGTCGATTATGTATTTGCTGTTGACAGCAGAGCTGCTGTACTTCTTCGGCTGAGTGACCACAGTGGGAACGTATTCCAGTGAGCTGCCTTTGCATTTCGTGTTGTTGAAGGAGTCCAAAGTATATTTGCTGGACTGACTAGAAGCAACCACGGCAAGAGGAGTAGGGTTGTAGTCATTACCACTGTTTGCATTGTAACCACCTGGGTTATACTCCAGAGAACTGAACGGGTTGGATGTTGTTAATCCAGCAGCCTTAGAAGCAAGTAAAGGGGGTTCAGAGGAGCCGTACTCTTTAGTTGTCTCCAGCAGCTCTTCGTACTTCTTTTGCTCACGTTCAACTTCATTCTTGGCGGCTTCGATTGCCTTGTCAAACAGCTCAAGCTCCAGAATCCCAGAAGCTGATGAGACGATATTTTCCAAAGTGCCATTGCTGTCTTGTGCCACGGGTTTGGGAAGTTCTGGGTTGTAGGGGTCATAACCACACCCTGGAAAAGGAAGGAAAACGAGAATATGAGTATCAACCATTCTCAGAACACCATCAAATCCCAATTATAAAAATTTATTCGATTATAAAAGATGAGAAGGCAAGGAACCAACTCCCACATGGCCCTCAGAACAGTCTGCATCAGCAATCGTTCCCGTTATGTCATCCATGATAGAAGATAAATCTATCATGGAGAAACTAGTCCTCCAAATATTAACAGGAGAAGTGCACTCAAAAGCAACACATGAATTAGCACACACCATGTGCAATGAGATTGTGGTCCAAAATGAGAGAGAAAACCACAGGACTGTTGCAAGAAAGGTGAAGGATACTTAGCCAACAAAAAACAGCCAGCAGATAAGAACTACAGGGGCATATTTCATTTGGAGCACAAACGAAAAGGAGACAACATAAGCCATTTTCACTTCCAGTTCATGGTGAAGGAGTGTCATTAACTTTTTTTTTAAGGAGAAATGTGCTTTTAATTTCTAACTGAGTACCCGATGTGGGAGAAATATAGGAGAGTTCCTATATTCTCTTTCACACCATATTTCTACCTGATAATTCCAACATTTTATTGTAGAAAGAAAAATGAAGATTCACACAGTGCAGATGAGATTAGGGAGGCTGCTTTAAAATAATAACAATATCCTTTATTGTCATTGTACATATATACAATGAAATTGGTTTAGCCTATACTGGTGTAATCCATATCAAAAATACAAGACAACACGAATAATATAGAAAAGGGTCCTTATACAAGTAATTAGGGAGAAAACAGTCATATGTTTCCATGTATGCATGGAGTGGTTGTAGTTGCATTTGGGAGTAACAGCCCATGTGTCAGGCTTCCAAGTAACACCCCCAACGAAAGAAGACTCCGAAGTTTGAGTTTCTACAAAGTTCCATTTTATTAGAGATATCCTATTGGCACATCTGGGAAAACCCAAATCTGAAAGCTTCCAGTTTCCCCCACTCAAAAGAAAGTCCAAGCCCGTGCCCAGAACCTACATGTCCATCACATGGTCCAATCAGCCACCATACCAACTGGAGATTCCTCCCAGTCACACCACTCCAGGTGCAGGGCAAGATGTCCTTGACTCTCTGAGAAAGGAATGTTATTTTGACTATATCTACCCCACTCCATATAATCCCCCTCCCAATTTCCCACAGCATTAAATGTGGCAGGCCTGAAGGCCCAATGCAAAAGATGCTTTTAAATCTGTTCGTTTGGCTGGCTCTATTTATGGGTCTCCTGCCCGATGGTAAAAGTGAGAAGAGACACTGATCAGGATGTGAATCATCCCTATCTTCCTTACTCTGCTGAAACAACGAGACCTGGCGATGTCATTCAGTGGTGTTAAGGTTCAACCAATGGTTTCTTGTGCCGAGTTAATCACTCTCTGTAGGGCCTTCCTGTCCGCAGCTGTTGAACCAGCGTAACATACTGTTATGCAGGAGTTAAAAGGGGTTTCATAAACATTCATGGAGAAAGTTCACCTAACAGCCATTAGCCATGATAGTTTGGAAGCCTCACTATCATCTCAGACCCTCCTCCTTAGCCACTTATGCAAAGAGAAAAGATAAGACTTGGAAGAAAGTTGCACAACGCCTACTGATACATGCTACCACTATATGAGCACTGTTGCTACGGTCGTTTAAAAACGTTCAGAACTCCAGGAGACAGGAACAAATCGACCTCACGTTGTGAGAAAGGAATAGCTTAGCAATAGGAATTGAGCCCCCACCTCATCTAACAAATGTCTTTGGAGATAGCAGCAAAGACTCCTCAGAACAAGCTGAAATAGGACACCTATTACAAGAAAAAAATTAGGGAAAAAACTATTGCTTAAAAAAAGCCATCTCCAACTCCTTTTTTTTTTTAAGTCAGCTTCTTGTTTGTCACTTTTTCTTCCCCTCTTGAAAACTAAAGATAAGACCACTGTAGACAAAGAAGTGGTTTATCCAAACCACCCCATGTGGAAATGTACCTCCACACCCAAAAGTACAATCTTCTTCTACTTTTCACACTATACCACATTTATGAATAAATCTACAAGTGTAAGCTATCCAAACTTCAAAACTTAAATATGCCTGAAATGTTCTTTTGAGCAGGTCTACAAAGCATTTGTGAGAGACAGTTTAAATGGTTAAGGTACCAGGTTAGAAGCCAGGAGACTGTGAGTTCTAGTCCTGCTTTAGGCATGAAGCCAGCCGGGTGACCCTGTGCCGATCACTATCTCTCAGCCCTGGGAAGAAGACAATGGCAAACACCTGTCCCAGGAAAACAGCACGGCCTTTTTCAGGCAGTTGGCAGGAGTCAAAAACAGACTGAAACTCACACAGAAATACATTTATTGCTACCTAGTGCTCTGTAGCACCTCAGGAAGATTTTACCGAAACTACAACTCAAAAATGATTTTAGAAACCCTTGCAAGTTTCATTCCTCCAAAAATCTGCATTTAAACGCAGGGCAAGGGTTTGAATCTTTCTTGAACATCTGCAGTTCAAAAATCAACATGTCTATAATTAGTAAGGAAAGACTTTTATAGCAGAGTACTTGAATGTTGGTCAAATCAGCTCCCAAACCCCACAAAGGGGTTATTTTAGTAGCCTTTAAAAATAATCATCATCATCATCATTTCTTAAGCAGTTAAATGTTTCAGATTAACAAGTATTGTAAAAGTCAATTTTCTGTCTGAATTTCTGAAAAACTGCCATCACTGACAGTAGATCAAATCTATAAGAATAAGTCAGACTTCATATAAGGAAGCTTTTCATGTTCCTAAAGTTAGTCACTGTCATCGGGAAAAGTTCAGGAAAATAATACTATCTGTACAAATGTCACTTTAAATTCTGGATACAATCATTGAATAAATACCTACCAAGGATTTTAAGCTTACGAGGAAGCTTAAAAGACCCAAAATGCATAAGCATTTCATAACTCAGATCCTTTCCTTCCATATCATATTCTTGTTCATGCAACATTTTAACCACAATCTTAATGTAATTTCAATTGCTCAGACAATAAATACAGTTCTGCTATTAAAAGCTGAAAGGGGAAGACGTAAAAATGTAAGTAATATTTTATCTTCTACCTAGCACTGCATACAACTACCCTATTTCCCTGAAAATAAGACCTCCCTGGATAATAAGCCCAATCAGGCTTTTGAGCGCATGCGCTAAAATAATTCCTCCCCTGAAAATAAGCCCTCCCTGAAAATATTGCAACACACGAGCAGCCATGAGGTGGCCACACTCACCACCTCCTGCACCTCAAAAATAATAAGACCTCTCCGAAAATAAGGCCAAGTGTTTATTTCGGGGAGGGGCAAAAGAAAATAAGATCCTGTCTTATTTTCAGGGAAACACAGTAGATGATGCTATTTAATTGATTTCTAAACTTTTTCTAGTCTATGTTTTAATATATAAATCGAGAATGACTTAAAAGAAAATTCGTTAACTAGCATTTTGGACACAGGTGGCAAAGAAGAGCTAAATACCCCACTAATGTATAAAACTAAGCAGCTCTTTGGTAAGTTTCAATGGTACCACCAGTATGTAAAAAGACTGCCACAATGTTATTTCTTGCTGACATAACAGAGGCAAAATAATCACTGGACAAAAGTTTTCTTTTCTCTTTTTACCTGGGCTCTCGTGCACAGACAGACAATGGAGGTACTTGTTCATACTTTCATCCAAAGGTCCCTTTGCCTTTTAAATGTCTTCTTTGCACTCTACAGCCACCCTGACACACCAAGCTATCAAAACACGTCCTAGTGTACAACTGCCAACTCATGGACAGCAAAGATTGTTCAAGGCAGGATAGCAGACAGGAAACTTGTTAGTCCCACCTTCACATGCACTGCTCTTAAAGAGGTACTTCCCTCTTAAACGGCTCCAGTGGTTTTTTTTTTAAATAGTTCACATTCAGAACAAGCACTGCACATACATCAAATCTCCAAACATACGGTAGATAAATTTCCACATTATAAACTATATAGTTTAAACTACTTGGACGTTGCATCTGATTCATAAGGCAGCAACCATATGTTTCCTAGTACCTGCTATCAGAAGCACATCACACCTTTATGAAAGGTCCTACATTAGATCCTTATAGGCTTATAGAAACAATTTAAAGTGTTGGGTGATTTTAAAAGACCTGTGTGGCATTGCACCTAGATATCTCCAAAACTGCATACTCCAACATTGCTCCCAGCCAATGCTGCCCTTTCAGGACAAACAAATAGCCCTAATTTCCCAGGAAGGGAGTTGGCTGAAGATAGAAAGTGCTATTTCTCGATGACATCACCCATTCTTTGAAATACCACCCTCCTTGTTTTCACTTAGGAAAATGCTGAAAACTGAATTCTTTTTAAGTATGTTTGTGCTTTAAGGTGGCATCATGTGCGTTAAATGCATTGAGCTGATTCGTTGGGGATAATTAACTGAAGGCATTTATGTGCTGTTGCTGGCTTATCTGCATTGTTTTAATTGAGTTTACCATGGTCATTTTATATAATTTACCATGGGTATTTCTTTTTTAACCACTGAGAGTTATATTTGAATTGCAGCGGCATATAAATGGAATAGCAAGATTCACCGAGTATACCTTGGGTTAGCATGTATGGTGTTTATGAATTACCCAACTACAAGATGGTGACCACTGTACACATCTTTGGAAAGGGGAAAGCACCAGACATCAGCAGTCAGTCTGATACTGATACCCAGGACAACTGAAGAATAGATCATAAAGTGATCAATTGGAAATAGAAACCATTCAAATAGCTTCACAAAATGGCTACCAGCTAGATGAAAGCTGAGGAGAAGCAAAAGAGCTGGCCTTTCAAACAACACCAGCTCAACCCCTGAGATCTGCATCAGTTGAGGCTTTGCTTACTCTGCTGCAGAGGCAAAAGGTCCAAACGATTGTCCCCTAGCAAGGGCTGTCACTGGCTTTGGAAATACAATGATAACAATTTCCACTTCTTTTCCTCAATTCTTACAGCATAATGGAAAACTAGTGGAAAAATCGGTACACCCAATTTACAATCTAGCCCCAAATTACATACATTCATACATGCATGCATGCATGCATACATACACACACACACACACACACACACACACACACAGGTAACATTTGGTGTATACACACACACACATATGCACCAAAGCAGTTTTTGACTAGACTTTCTGCTATGGCAGCCAAGAAGAAACAGTTTTTAAGAATTATTGATATTGATTCAGAAGTGGTCTCTGATTGCATTATGCCGATGTGCAAACACATTGTTTTATGATAAAATACCTTTGTGTATGGTATTGTATAAGGCATGAGAGACTTCTAATCTGTATATAAACCTTAAGTTTGGATCAGCCACCAGCTAGCAAAATGATGCCTTGTATAAGATAGGAATACCTTAAAAATCCATTTTATAAATCTTTTAATGTTTTTTTAATACAATTAAAAGATATAAACTAATACAAACTATGAAAAGGGAAATGTGCAGAAAAAATAAAAAATAACATCCCCATGGTCACATGACCAAAATCCAGACACTTGGCAACTGGTACCATATGTATTTATGTTGTCCTAAAGTCATATGATCACAATTTGTAACCTTCCCAGCTGGTTTTCAACAAGCAAAGTCAATAAGGGAATCCAGATTTAGCTTATACTTATATACCGCTTCACAGTGCTTTGCAGCTCTGTGGTTTAAAGAGTCAGTATATTGCTCCTCAACAAATCTAGGTTCTCATTTTACCAATCTTGGAATGATGGAAGGCTGAGTCAACCTTGAGCCACTCAGAATTAAACTCCTGGAGTGAGCAGCGAGTTAGCCTGCAGTACTGCATTCTAACCACTGCGCCACTACAGCTCTTCATTTACTTAACCACAGGATTCACTTAACTGAAGTAATTTGCTTACCTACTGTGCCAAAAAATGTTGTAAAATGGAGTGTGACTCACTTAACTATCTTGCTTAGCAGCGGAGAGTTTGGGCTCAATTGTGGTCATAATTCGAGGATTTCCTGTACAATCTCGCAGGAAGAATCTTATAGCCAGATTACATCTGTATAGTTTGGAGGAACAAATATGATATACACTCTACACTGCCCAAACGTATTACCTCCCAGGTTCTCCTCCCCACAATTTAATTTTAAAAACTGTTTAAACTAAAACCAAAGGTGCGGGAATATCTTATCAATTTACCTTCTTGGAAACCGATTTTTGATAACTGGCCACACATAGCCCAGCAGTGACTTCATGGAAAAAACAAGCCTCTGTGACAGCTATCCAGCAAACAAGCTGGCAACTTGTTTTAGAATAGAGCTGGAAGAGACCTTGGAGGTCTTCTAGTCCAGCCCCTTGCTCAAGCAGAACCTATACCACTTCAGATAAGTGGCTGTCTAGTCCCGTGATGGCGAACCTTTTCAGCACCAAGTGCCCAAACTGAAACATGTATGTGCGTGCACCAGAGCCCCAGAAACATGAAGACCAGCTGGTCTTCAGGTTTCCAGCCCGTGCATATGCGCCAGCCAGCTGGTCTTCACTTGCGCCAGAGCCGCAGAAACCCAAAGAACAGCTGGACAGTGCACATATCCGCCCTGGTCAACCTGGTCTTCGGGTTTCCAGCACTCCAGCACGCACGAAGATGCATGTGCATCTTTCTGTGAAACCAAAGAGCAGCTGGCAACAACATGCGTGCCCACAGAGGGCTCTGTGTGCCGCCGCTGGCATACGTGCCATAGATTCGCCATCACTGATCTAGTCTCTTCTTAAAAATCTCCAGGGATGGAGCGCCCAAAATTTCTGAAGGCAAGCTGACTTCACTATTTTCCTCACTGTTAGGAAGTTTCTCCTTAATTCCAGGTTGCTTCTCTCTTTGATTAGTTTCCATCCATTGTTTCTTGTCTTGCTTTCTGGTGCACTGGAGAATAATTTTACTCCCTTCTTTGTGGCAGCCCCTCAAATACTGGAAGACTGCTACCACATCGCCCCTAATTCTTCTTTTCTCTAGACTAGTCAAATTTTCAAAAGCCACCTTCACTGGCTTAAACTGAAGCAGGCCAGGGAAGGAGAGTGGCCTTTTTTTAAAAAAACTTTTGCCCATCTGCATCACCAACGCACACAGCCAGGGCTGAACCTTTCCCAGAAATGCAGAGGATTTTAAATTTAACTCAAATTTAAATGTGTGGCCGTTTTTCACATTTAACAACGGGTGCAACATCCCCCCTGTTGCACCCTTTGTAAATTTGTAAAATTCACATGACCAAAATCCAGGCACTTTTGAGATTTTAACTGTACATAAATGACCACACCCACCCACTTGGCTACACCGATTCCCACAAATGAAGGCCTTGCCAGGAAACAGCCTGGTATAACAAAAGCAATGGTGGATCCAGAAGGCACTTGCCATAGCCGGCAAGTCTATACACACACACACAGAACACACACACAGAACAACACACAAACACACACTCTCTCTCTCTCTCTCTCCAAGACAAGTTTTTTTAAAAAAAAATATCTCTTGAATTGGTTACAATAACTTACGAACGTACACATTGTTTTTTTTCCTTCTTCTTCCCGCAGATGCGATATGGGAGTCAGGGAGGAGGAGGAGAGAAGGAAGAGGAGGCGTAATTCTCTTGGGAGAGGCTTAGTTCTGCCCACCTCCCTTCAGGAGAGTTGTTTCACGCCTCATTAACAGAGTTGGAAGGGACCTTATAGGTCATCTAGTCCAACCCCCCCTCAAGCAAGAGACCTCCCGACCACCTCCTACCCCCTTTAATGAGGTATGAGCGACTCTGCTGCGGGGGGAGGCTCTCTGTTGCTTTCCCCCCATCCCAAACCCCCTCGGGAAATCCCCTCTCACCCTTGAACAAGGTTTCTTCTCCTTCTCCAGATCAGGGATACCCACCCCACGACCGCATCTCGTCCCACGAGACAGGGTGGGTTAATAAAACCGGCGGGGAGGGGTGGGGTGGAGCAGGATGGGAGTATTAGAGAGAACAGGGGATTTTTTAATGTACAAAAAAAAAGCCAGTCACGTCCACGCTTTTACACGCCGCCTTTATCCCACGCGAGACAGGGGCGCCGGTGCTTTTCGTCCCCGCGTTCAAACAGCGCCACGGAGCACGGATAGTGGGGCCTTTCCCTCCAGGGCGCGGTTAGAGGAGGTCACCCTGCCGTCCGATTTACCTCCGACTGTGGCGGGGCGTCTGCCGGGACCAGACAGGGCCAAAAGGCGTCGAGGCGGTATAGGGCCATCGGTGGTGTGTTGGGCCCCGGGCGGGTGCCTGAAGTGGCAGTAGGGCCTCCCGCAGGCCTGCCCGTAGGGGCATTCGATGCCGCGGAAGAAGCCGCTCGAGCAGAGCATCCCGGTGTCGCATGAGGAGAAGAAAAGCAGGTCGCGGAATACCCCCCAACCGTCGCTTCCCCTCAGCTGATTTTTCGCAGCTTCAGGCTGCGGCCATCTTCCTTTCGGGCAAGAGAGTATCAGTCCATAGTTATGGGCGCATGCGCAGAGTCAGAGCGACGAAAGAAGCCGGCATTGCCGCCGCCACTAAGGGCAAGGCGTAGGAAGAAAGGAAACAAGGTAGCCATCTTACTTAAAGGAAAAGAAGCCGAGTCCCAAGGGCGCATGCTCCGCGAAGACGTCGGCGGTGACTTTAAGGCAAGAGGTCAAAGGGTGTGCGCCACGGGATTGACGCTGAAAGATTCGCCGCCATCTTAGTTGAGGACAACAGAAGGAATGCGCGTTCGCCATTGGATTAAAAAAGGGCAGGTCTTTTCCGGGTTTCGCATGGCAACACAGCTGGCTTGCTTTAAGGTGGCTACGATGGTGCCTGCTCAAAAATGACTTGTGTAGAGTGACCTCGGGTCTCCAACCTTGGCAACTTTAAGACTTGTGGACTTCAACTCCCAGAATTCCTCAGCCAGGAATTCTGGGCGTTGAAGTCCACATGTCTTAAAGTTGCCAAGGTTGGAGACCCCTGGCTGTAGAGTACGAAAAGAAATGCATCAATACAGATTTTAGAATAGAGCAAGAAATCAAAAGTTAGCACTTTCCCCTACATTCAAGACAAAAGGCCCAAATAATAAAGTTGCCAAAGCTGAATTTGCATCCTTAGAGCAGTTAAGCACACATGCTGGCTGGGGAATCCTGAGAGTTCACCTGTTTTAAAACTGCCATGGTTGTGCATTGTTAAATGGGCTTTTTCCCCCCCAGGAGAAAGTCAGCCCAGGAGACAGGCCAACCCACAAGCAATTATGAAAAGTAGACAGATGCTGCTAAGCATGTGAGGAAGACATGGAAATTGGATACCAGCCTTTCATTTGGTCCTCAGAACTGGCAGCAAAAGCTAAAAGCCCCTTGAGAATTATCAAGACTTTTGCTTTTATTATTGCAAAAGGAACATCTTGGAGTATTACATGTACATAGTCCCCTGAAATTGGATGGGCAGTAAATTTAAATAAAATGGATTTAAATACACATTTTCATGCAATATGCTGAGCTGTGATGTTGTTTGCTTTGTATAGTGTATAGCGTGTTCTGCGAAGCCTAAATTAACATTTAGCTGCAAGTTGTGTAAAGCCATCAATCCTAGGAGTCATTAAAAAAATAATTGTAAAAAAAGAACTCTTGTATTTTGTGTAAGATTCTCCAGTGAGCTAAAGGTGACAAACACTTGATTTGTCTTTAACTCACTGGATAATCTTTTAAAATGTAACTTGTATATAGGATATGTTCAAAAAAGTCAAGATATGCAGTAATATATGATGCATACTATATTAAGACAAAACTTTGACCACATAGTTGTGGATGCCATCTTAACTTTTCTGACCCCTTCAGACATCCTTATTTGCATGAGAATCCCCCCCCCCCCAAACAGGAATTTTGCCCAGTGGAATCTGTGCCCAGGATAACAATATTTTAAAAATACTGCAGATAACCACAGAGGCTGAAGGCTGTGATTTGTCCAGCCTTTTCTAGATCTGGCATCTTCCAGATTGTTCAGATACAGCTTCTAGGATTGCTCAACATGGAAATTCCAACAGGATTGTTACTTTTGAATTCTAGGATATGATTCCAAAGTATTTGGAAGACATCAGATTAGAGAAGGTTGAGACATGCCAATTCTGATGGATAAGCAGGGCTCTTTAAAATGATGCTCATTGGCCCATTTTAGTAAATAATAAAAAAAATAACAATTAGAAGTGAATTTTTGGTAAAGTGCCCCTTGTCTTATAAGCAAAAACTCCCCTACAAATACCTCTATAATTTGAAAATGTCCATTGTAATGTTTCGATGTAATGTATTTATTATTTTATTAGCAATCCCCTAGGATTGAGGCAGTGACTGGATTCACATATAAAACTCCCTTTTTTTACAACCTTCTACCCTTAATTCAGGTCAGAGTTGGTGGTGACTGGATGGAGCTGAGCATTTACTGGCCGGATGCCCTTCCTGATGTCTACATGGAGTTCACTGCAGCAATTTTCTCTTTCTATCCTGAGAGAGAAACATTTGCCACTACCTGGGATTGAACTCTCAGCTTCCAAGTGGGAGGACAGCATCTTCACCAATTAGGCCACCATGCCACTCAGCAAATAAGTCACCTCTATAAAGATTAAATTTCTTCAAACACACAAACATGTTAAATCTCTTCACACACACAGGTTAAAGAGTGGAGCCTGTTTTTGTTCGTTTTATTTAAAAATAGAACAGAGAAAATACACGCAAAACTGGTGCACCAAATTTCAGTGCATATTATTAAAAATACAGATTTGGAGAAAATGAAAATAACTCCTTCTCAACTCAAACACAGCACACAACAGCATGCAACAGATACACTGATCAAAATACAGAGATGGGTTTTAAAGCAGAGGGGCCACTAGAGCATAAACATATGTACATAATCATGTAAAATAAATGCATCTGAAAAACCGTTTTCATCACTTTTCTATTAGCAATCGCCATAAGAGGTTCTGGGATTATAAACCTTTAAAAATCATGGCATTCTGGCAGAGGTGGGGGTCCTGGGTAAGAATTTTATTTCCTGCATATATTATTTTTCCTTCTTCCTGTAGCCAGTAGCTCAGCAGAGGAGTCTTATCAATTGTAAATGCTTGGGGAAAGGATAAAGAGGGGTGTCTTTTGTTCTAATAAAAAAATACTGTAGCATCTCCACCAAAATCAGAATTCTCCTCGAAAACTTTGGAAGTGCAACATGACTTGATTTCTTCCTACAAAAATACCCATGTTCCAGCAGTAAGCGCAAGCTTTCATTATTATTTCAAAAGAAAGAAAATATACTGTACTTTCCTTTAATAAAATACCAGTTTGATTATATATTGTAAAAGAGGAAGGTTGGATCCTTTTTAAATATATCCATTTCTCTATCTATTAAAAAAAAAATCAATTGTCTAGTGACATGTATGGGATAAGGTATTTACTCCACTTCACTCCTAGAGCACATCAGAAATCTATATAGGCACCCAAAACTTCTACAGAAGAAGTTATTCAAGCAAAAGAAGACATCTAACCTCGTTTCCATTTTCCTACGGTACCAGGACACAAAACAATGTGTTGTTAAAGTTATGCAAAAGCATATACTTCTTCAATAATAAGAAAGCCTTCTGTATATCAAGAGCAATCTGGGACCAATGATCAAACACATTGGTGAACTCTATACTGGATATCCAGATTGCTTTCATTTGGTTTCTTGCAATGGACAGTTGGATTAACTCATTGGCTACCTCTTTCCAATACTATAAATTCTGCCATTGCTTTTGACCACTGGAAATCTATAAGGCCTAGGATCAGTGGGGTCCTGAGTTCAAATAAATAAGGACGGGGGCAGTGCATCCTGGAATCAGTCCTCGGGGCTGCATTTGAAGACACCAGATTTAATGCTCCTCCAGGTGGATTCCTATTACAAGTTAAACCAGTTGGATGTTATTTCCTAGATTACTTTGTGTACATTCTTCCTTCCCCAGTTACCATTCCACTTAACTCAGTTGCTTTGTTACCCCAATCGGTCCCAATCCAACAATTCTCAACCACTCCCTCCACTCCTAGACTGGGAAGTTTAGAAGCTGGAGTCCAAGCCAAGTAAAAGATTGCTGTCACGGGTAGCCTAGTCAGGGGTCTCCAACCTTGGCGACTGGTGGACTTCAACTCCCAGAATTCCTCAGCCAACTCAGGAATTCTGGGTGTTGAAGTGCACCAATCTTAAAAGTGCCAAGGTTGGAGAGCCCTGGCCTAAGTTACAAGTAGTCCTCAATTTACAACCACTTCTCTGGCAACTGTTTTAAGTTTACAAAAATGGCTTATGATCGGTCCTCACAGTTACAGCCACTGCCGCATTCCAGGCGGTCACATAATCGCAATCTGGGTGCCTGGCAACTGGTTTGCATTTATGCGCATTGCCACATGCCTTTGTCACCTTCCTAGCTGGCTTCTGATGAGCAAAGTAAAATGGGGAAGCCAGCAGGCATGTTCACAAGCAGTCATGTGATGTCTCGCTGAACAGCCACAATGATTCACTTAATAACCATGGCAAGAAAGGTGGTAAAAAAAATGGCCTATTTAAAGGATGCCTCGCTTAAAATGACCACACTGCCCAACGAAGGATTTCCCAGTTCCAATTGTGGCTGTAAGTTGAGGCCTACCTATACAGTACAGTCCTTGACAATTCAGCCCAAAATTTATGTTGCTAAATGAGATGGTTATTAAGCAAATTTTGGTCCATTTTACAACCTTTCTTTCCGCAGTTGTTAAGTGAATCGCTGCAGTTCTTAAGTTAGTCACACAATTGGTAATTTAATCTGGGTTCCCCATTGCAACCATCTGCAACCATCACAAATATGATTCAGTTGCCAAGCGCCTGAATTTTGATCACGTGGCCCTGGGGATGCTGCCACAGTTGTAAGTGTGAAAAGCGGTCATAAGTCACTTCTTTCAGGGCCGTTTTAACTTTGAACAGTCACTAAACGAACTGTTGTAAGTTGAGAACTAATATAGCAACATCTTGGGTTCCCAGTTCCTTCTATCGCTATCCCTTGAAACATCTAAGCATGGCTGGCTGGGGAATTCTGGGAGTTGAAGTCCACAAGTCTTAAAGTTCCCAAGTTTGGACACCCCCGATCTAAATGGTACCTCTCCCTAGATTTCATTATTCTACTGCGCCTTATTTGCAAGGCAGAGAATGGTGACAGCATGGCTCGTTCTCAAAATGCAAGTGTAAAGACAGCCGTTTCTACATAAATGGATTTACATTTTCAGAAGCAGAGCACCGAAGGAAATCAAAGATGCTTTTAATGTATATGAGAGCCAATTCTCACCCAGTCAAAAGCAAACAGCCTGATACAGCAGCTTCACACCAGCCACGCCTTATGGGCACCAGAAGCCACCAGAAAAATAAAACCCTGATTTCACAATACACGTGCTTTGCATTGAATACAGAGCAATCACTGAAATTCTTTCATAATGGCTGCATTCCTTTTTTTCCCCACCATA